CACCTGGCTAAGTTGTATTTTTAGTAAAGATGGGGTTTCACCATGTTGGCTAGGCTGGTCTTAAACTCCTGACCTCAGGTGATCTGCCCACCTCAGTTTCCCAAAGTGCTGGGATTACGGGTGTGAGCCACCGTGCCCAGCCCATTGAAAATATTTTTAATGGCAGCATAATATTCAATCATCTGGGTATACCAAAATGTATTTACTGCTGGGCATTTTTCACTAATGGAAGTGATATGCTATGGTGAGCATCTTTGTTCATAAGTCTGCTTAGTCAGTTTTAGTTAATTATAGAATTCAAGTCTCCCTAGCAAGAATTAGCGTTTGTATTTATGCAGGATAGGGCATTCACATTCACTTCATTTTAAAAATAGCACTCTTTATGTGCATTGCCTGAGGGATAGGGTGACCAGATGTCCCACTTCTAGAAGATGCTTTCTGCCTTTTAATATCTTTATTCTGTTTTGAGAAATTTTCTTAGACTAGAAACATATAAGTTCACTTCAAAAATTTAACCTTTTGGAAATTGAGACTGCTTCTTTTTCTGACCATTGTCATTATTGTTGGTTTTATTCACTCTGTTTCTTGATCTTGGATGGATCTGTGCCAGAGAGAATAATTGAACTAGAAAGAATTTTAAAAAGAGAAAAAATATGAGGCTTCTGAATTACTATACATGATATAATTTTAGTTTGAAAATTACCTGATAATATGTTATCAGGACATTGTAGACATGTCCTCCTAATTAGAACAAATTAACAGCGTCTGGAGGAGGCTATGCATTTGCTTTCGGGGACAGTTGAGAACCTGAGAGACCTTCAGCATCAACTACCTGCTTTGTAAAACAATTAGAATGGAGCAAAATATGCCCAATGCTAAAGGAGCGCCCTAGAATGGAATCTTTATAGCAGTCAGAAAGTGTTTTGGGATTAGTGAGGCCTTCAGGTCATTGCTGTGCGTAGCAGCCGTTTCGAAGGACTAGGATCATGGCAGTAGCCACAGACCTGGACAGGGGTTGATTGTGTGGAGCCTTAGACATTAAAGGCATAGGAAACTGAATTGAAAGCCTTAGCAGCCTTGGAAGTTGCTTTTCTTCCTCCACTAAAACCTTGATTTTTTTAAACCTTATATAGTTATTACTTGTTTTCTTCTAAAAACTGTGGCTCAGTCAAATGTGTGGTTCCATGGCAGTAAATTATCAAGTAATAGTGATCAATATTTACTGAGGCTTTACTGTAGGCCAGATGCTATTCTGAGGGCTTTGTTGCAACTGTTTCCTTCCTTGCCTTCCACCCCTCCCAGGGTCCTGAAAGTGAGGCAGTGCATCACAGAAGTCAAGGGCGAGGAGTCCACACCTAGATACTGGATCTTGGTTTGAATCCTGGTTTTGCTATTCACTTTCTCTGTGTCCTTAAGCCGCTTAACCTCTTTATGCTTCAATTTCCTTATCTTTATAGTGGTGATAATAAAACCTACCTTATGTGGTTTTAATGATGACTAAGTTATAATATATTAAGAAATGCTTAGAATAGTGACCGGTATTTAGTAAATTATTATTATTATTTTTTTTTTTTTTGAGACGGAGTCTTGCTCTGTCGTCCGGGCTGGAGCGCAGTGGGGTGATCTCGGCTCACTGCAAGCTCTGCCTCCTGGGTTCACGCCATTCTCCTGGCTCAGCCTCCCGAGTAGCTGGGACTGCAGGCGCCCGCCACCACGCCCGACTGATTTTTTGTATTTTTAGTAGAGACGGGGTTTCACCGTGTTAGCCAGGATGGTCTCAATCTCCTGACCTCGTGATCCTCCCTCCTCGGCCTCCCAAAGTGCTGGGATTACAGGCGTGAGCCACCGCACCCGGCCGGTATTTAGTAAATTCTTACAAGTATTAGTTATTACTGTTGTTGCTGTTACAGCTGTCATTCTCTTTTCTCTCTGTCTGCTTTCTTGTCTTCATAAGCTCACTTACCTCCTATTGCACGTTCCTGGGCTCTGTCCTTGACCTACACTCCCTCCCACTGTCGCCAGATCCAGTCTTGAAGAGTCAGGTGCCAGCCCTGTGCTGATGACTTCCAAACCTGTTTCCAGTCCACTTGCTCTCCCTACAAACCTAGATCCCTACAGACAGCTGCCTTGTGGACATCTTCACAAGCGCCCCAAACCCAGCATATTCAAAATCGATTGTCATCTCCTCCCTCCTTCTTTATACTACTCTACCTGATTTAATTTCTCTGTGTCTTAGTTTCTTCATCTATATGATGGGATAATACTTACTTCATAGGGTTGTTATGAGGATTAAATGAGATAGTTCATGGGAAGCACTTAGCATAATGCCTGACACATATTTAAGAAATGTTAGCTACTGTAATTGTTGTTGTTATTTCTTGTTCCTGTCTGGTGAATGACATCAATATCCCTCCAGTAACCCAAACACAAAACTTAGAAATAGTCTTGATTTACCTTCCCCTGCACCCCTGCACCCCACCTAATCAGTTATTTCCTAGTACTGTTGCTGCTTTATTTGGGACCCTTATCTTTTTTTTTTCTTTCTGTTTTTTTTTTTTTTTCTTGAGACAGGGTCTTGCTCTGTTGCTCAGGCTGGAGTGCAGTGATGTGATCATAGCTCACTGCAGTCTCAACCTTGTGAGCTAAGTAATCCTTCTGCCTCGGCCCCCCAAGTAGCTGGCACTATAGTAGCTGCATGCCACCACACCTAGCTAATTTTTTGTATTTTGGAAACAGGGTCTCACTGTGTTGCCCAGGCTGGTCTCGAATTCCTGGGCTTTAGTGATCCTCCCGCCTTGGCCTCCCGAAGTGCTGAGATTAGAGGCATGAGCCACCATGCTTGGCTTGGTCCCTTATTCTTTCCTAGTTCCTGAAACAGCTTCCTAAGCAATCTTTGGTCTTACTTTCTATAATCTTTTTTTTTTTTTTCATTCTGTTACTAGTGAGATCTTTGTAATGCACATATCTGATCATGCCACTACCTGGCTTGAAATTCCTTTATGATTCCCTATAGGATTTTGTCCTGAAAATAAATTTGTTAGTGTAATGCTTCCTGAACTTTGGTGTCCATCTGAATTACTGGGAATCTTGTTACAGGGAAGATTCTGACTCAGTAGGTCTGTGATGGGGCATGAGACTGCATTTCTAACAACTCCCAGGTGATGCCTGTGTTGCTGAATTGAGAACCACACCTTGAGCAGTGAGGCTGTAATACACAGGCTCTGTATGACCTGCCTTCGACCTAGGCCTAGCCTCATCTCTCCTGTTTCCCTCCTGGCATTCAGTCTTTATTTTAAGTCAGGAGCTTGCCAACTTTGCCTTCTTCTGATTTCCACCATTCCCCTGCTTTATAAATAATTATTTTCTTTTAATAAAATAATTATTCTTTTTTTTTTTTTTTTTTTTTGAGACGGAGTTTTGCTTTTGTTGCCCAGGCTGGAGTGCAATGGTGCCATCTCGGCTCACCACAACCTCCGCTTCCCGGGTTCAAGCTATTCTGCCTCAGCCTCCCCAGTATCTGGGATTATAGGCACAGGGCACCACGCCCTGCTAATTTTTGTATTTTTAGTAGAGATGGGGTTTCTCCATGTTGGCCAGGCTGGTGTTGAACCCCTGAGCTCAGGTGATCTGCCCATCTCGGCCTCCCAAAGTGCTGGGATTACTGGTGGGAGCCACCGCACCTGGCCAGCTTATTCTGTAGCCTCGTGATTAAGAATTATAATCTTTTTCTAAACCTACTGTCTTGGCTTGATCTTTCACAACACTAGAGTTTCTGAGACTTTACTATGTGTAGCGATCATCTGGAATACTTTTTTTTTTTTTTTTCTTTTCCTGTGGAGACAGTCTTGCTCTGTCACCCAGGCTGGAGTGCACCAGTGTGATCTCGGCTCACTGCAACCTGTTTACCAGGATGGTCTCAGTCTCCTGACCTCATGATCCACCCGCCTCAGCCTCCCAAAGTGCTGGGATTACAGGCGTGAGCCACCGCACCTGGCTCTTTTTGCTATTTTTAAAGGCAACTGGAAAAACTGCCTCACTTATATTAAAACATAATTGAGAGTCTTCTGTGGCAAAAGATGTTCCATTACCTTTGCTAATATTAAATGGGTGTGAAACAGTATAGGAAATCACTCGCAGAATTACTTGGGAACTCTTTTCCTTTAAAATAAACTATTTTAAAAAGTATAAAAATAATAAATGCCCAGGGTAGAATCTTGGAACATTTTGAAATGAAAAAGAAAAATTGTATGTAATCTCACTGTCCTCAGATACTCTTAATATTTTGATGTATGTCCTTCTTGTCTTTTTCTCTCTCTCTATATATATATTTTTTAGCAAAATGCTTTACTTTGTGAATACTATTTTGTGGCAAGATTGTTTTCTCTAAGAAGTCTATTGTGAAGGTTTTCCCATGCCAATACGTGTTATTCTACAGTGTGTTTTTTTCATGACTTCAGAGTGTTATATTGCATTAATTAGTCATATGTTACTCAACCAGACCCCTGTGATAAGGACTTCTAATTTTTTGACAGTTTACATTTAAACTGAAGATAACCAAAGCCTTTGTGTGTTTGTTTACAAAGAAATAAATTATAGTCATTAATTAATTTGACTGTAATTGCAAAACATCCCATTTTTCTACTATAACAATATTGGTATAAAAACTTCGTGAATTATGGTATCAATGTTAAGATTAATCTAGTTAGATCTTAGAAGGCCAAAAAACAAACAGAAATATCAAAGAACTCAGGAATAAATCCTTAAAAATAGTTATGTATTTGGAACCTCAGAGTATGCCAGGCACAACAGCTTACTAGAAGGCAATTCTCCAAACTACAGAGGTAGATAGGTTAAGATTATTAATCAGTGGGCCAGTTAGTTCCAACCTGAGAGGGTAAAGGATCCCTTCCTATTCCAGTATTTTGGAAGCCATATGAGCATGAGTTGTATTCTCATGTTAGCTGAGGAGACTATCCCTGAGTAATTAAAGGCACTCAAGATTTGTCAAGCTCTTGCATGCATATTTAATGGGAGGATAGCCTGGTTACTCAGAAGCTGTTGGCTTTAGAAATGGAAAGGTTGACTTAGGCTAAAGGAAGGAGAAATATAGCAGAGGCAGTTATTCAAGAGAAAAACACATGTACTGAATCAGGAGAAGTAATGTGGGAAATAATCTCTGAGACAGACTGTGATCTTGAAAGATCTGAAAAAGAGTTATTTAGTTAATGTATTTCAAATAAGCTCCCCTGGTTTGCAGATTCCGTAATTAAATATTTCTCATAATGAGTTTACAACTGAAATGTGTCTGGGAAACTGGCCAGGGGTTTTAAGGAGCCTGGTTCTTCAGAAGGCATTCGCTTCCCTTGGGTCGGAGGTGGCATCTCCTAGGGCTGAAGAGTTTTCTGAGTCTGTGTAAGGAGCAGTGCCTTAGTCTCAGGAAAATGAGCATAGTCTGTGGACAATGCAGAAGTTGCCTCCTCAGTCACTGCCTGTGGGAGTCACTGAGGTCCAATTTGTCTTTTGGAGCTGGGGCGTCTGCTAGGGTGTGTTTAAGAAGGACCTGCACAAAACCTGTATAGTACAGCTTAACTGGTTAGATTGAGGATTAGGATGTCTCATTTGAGTTCATGAAAAATCAAAGCGAGGGGTACAATTAAATGAAAGTCAGTGACTGTTTCACAAATCTGTAAGACTCATTTGTAATCTGTGCCATTCTATACATTAGACTTAGGTCAGTGGTCCCCAACCTTTTTGGCCCCAGGGACAGGTTTCATGGAAGACAGTTTTTCCACAGACCTGGGGAGCGGGTGTGGTGATGGTGATGGTTGGTTTTGGGATGAAACTGTTTCACCTTAGATCATCAGGCATTAGTTAGATTCTCATGAGAAGCATGCAACCTCGATCCTTCGCATGTGCAGTTCATAATAGGGTTCATGCTCCTACGAGAATCTAATGCCACTGCTGATCTGACAGGAGGCGGAGCTCAGGCGGTATTGCTCACTAGCTCACCACTCACCTCCTGCTGTGAGGCCCGGTTCCTAACAGGCCGACTGATACTGGTCCGCAGCCCGGGGATGGGAGACCCTTGACCTAGATTCTTAAAATAATATTGTCCTTAAGGTTAAACATTTCCAAAAATTCTTATTTGATTTATCTGTTGGTTATGTTTAAGAGGATTTTATAAGGTAACCATGATAGACTGTGGTGAAACTTAATAGATCTGAATGAGTAGAGGCTAAATTAATTATTTTAAAATATATATATGGTGAAATAGATGGAGTAGTTTATTAAACATGATTCCAGCTTGAAAATGGCTTCAGTGGGGCAGCAGTTAAAGTTTTCTAAGTTTGAAATTGCGTAGATTTGAGTTTGGTCAGAATGTGTGGGCTATATGTAGAAAAACAGAGTCTCAGCCAGAGTACTGGAACTGCTGTGGTGAATGGTTTTCATTTTAGTCAGCTTAATTCCTTAAGTAGCCAGTTGTCCTTTGGTTTTCATTCTTCACGGCCATAGCAGTGACATCAGATGCAGCTGGAGCTGAAAGTAGAAGGGTTATGTTAATTAATTCTAGTGAAACAAAAACTGCCTCAAATAATTAATGGAATAATAGTCTCATTAAAAGACCTTAGAGCTTTTTTGTGTTCTTTTTTTTTTTCTCCAAGAGATTAGAGAAGGAGAATGGCACAGATTGTTCACTTGAGACCTTTTTAAGCTATTGATCCATCTTAAGTCCTCATCTGATGCCTCTGATTTCAACGTGAATCATTCAGGCCATGTAGTGATTTTCTCTTATTTCGTCTTGAGGCTGCTCTCTCTTTGCCTTTGGTGACAGTTTTCAAGAGAGCAGTGCCTGAACTTTGGCTTGTTAGAATCTAAAAATGGCACCTATTCTATTTTCTTATTTACAGCTGTCATATTTTAGTTTAAATACAGTTGACCTAGCAAGCAAACATTTGTGTGTTACAAGTATGGGACAAATACCAGGTGGGGTTGTCTGCCAGGTTATTGGAGGGAGAGAAGAGGCTTGTATGTTCCCATCACTGTTTTCTTTGCTAATCATGCTGTCTGTCAGCTGATCATGCTGTCCTGGAGTTTTTTTGTTTTTGTCTTTCTTCTAAATTGTTAAAGAAAGATGCCTTATTAAACAGAGATTAGCCAGAGTTGGGAAAAACAGCTGGAGAGACAAGCAGGAAGATCCTTATATGTGATCATCTTGGTTTTCCAACCCAATATGAGGACACTGTCTTTGAGTAAACTAAAAAAAGCGTTTAATCTGGCCAGGTGCCTGGGTCTCATGCTTGTAATCCCAACACTTTGGGAGGCTGAGGCAGTTGGATTGCTTGAGCCCAGGAGTTCAATTCAAGCCAGAGCAACATGGTTAGACTCCGTCTCTACAAAAAATTAAAGACTTAGCTGGGTGTGGTGGCACATGCCCGTAGACCCAGCTACTCAGGAGGCTGAGGTGAGAGGATCGCTTGAGCCCGAGAGTTGAGGCTGCAGTGAGCCGAGATCAAACCACTGCACTCCAGCCTGGGTGATAGAGCAAGACTCTGTCTCAAAAAAAAAAAAAATTACAAAAAAGTTTAATCCACTTCTAATTTTAATAATACATGAGGAGAGAATAGGAGAAAATAACATATAACATACGGCTTATGGTTTTTTGGGTAGATAAGAAGATACAGATTTCATTGTATTGTTGAAAGTATGCAAGGATCTTATGTGTGTTTGGGAGCTAAATTTCTGGAAACATAATAATAAAGATGTAAAGAAAAAGACAGTAAAAGAAAAAAGGAAGCATAAAAACCTAAAATAAAAAGCTAAGTATGGTAGTTTGAGACTAGAGATTTGGGTATAATTAACCACATGTGTGTTACCAGCTATGTGTGGAGCAAACAGGGTTATTGTTTTGGCAGGGGGTGGGGGCGAGGTGGGGAATAATAGCCCAATAATTCAGGGAACCAATGGTATGCCAGTGTGCTGTGGAGGTAGCAAACTCACAGTAGATGAAACAGAGGAGGGATTTAGAACACATAGGACTAATATAGATGTATATTTATGTTTCTACTTTTGTTGTTTGTACCTTGTGTGTTGTGATGCCTTTTTTGGTGGTTTATTTTGTCGGGTTAGTTCTTTTTTTTTTTTTCTTATAAAACCCTAACAAGGTTTGTTGTAATGTTATCAAAGCTTTCATAAAACTAGCTACAAAATCCATTTGGATTATCTGATTCTAAGTTTTTGAAAGATACTGAAACAGCTTTGCCATTTTAGGACTTTGTGAACTAGAAATACTATGGAAAGAAAGTAGAGAAAGACAATTTACGATTTATAAACAAGAGTTAAACTTTACAAATTTGAATGATTAAATAACAAATACATAAAATGAATAAGAAACACCGAGGAGAACAAATAAAATAACAAACAGTAATGTAATATGGTTAAGGGCATGATCTCTAGAGTTAGGTTGAGCTTCTCCTTGTGTGACTATAAGCAAATTAGTGAATGTACTTACCTGATAGGACAATTGAGAGATTAGATACATACATATATATGTAAAGCTGAGTACTTGGCATATCGTAATAGAGTCCCTTAGTGTTAACTCTTAGTATTATTGGCTTGTCTATTTTAAATACTTTGTAAAAATCTGTTTTCTTATTTAAAGAAAAATGGTAGCCCCAGATAGATCTCTAGTTATCATACTTTTTTTTTTTTTTTTTTGAGACAGGGTCTCATTCTGTTGCCCAGGCTAGAGTGTAGTGGTGGAATCATGGCTCACTGCAGCCTCGACCTCTCGGTCTCAAGTGATCCTCCCACTTTGGCTGGCACTACAGGTGCATGCCACCATGCCTTGCTGATTTTTGTATTTTTTTTTGTAGAGTTGGGGTTTTGCCATGTGGCCCAGGCTTGTCTGCTCCTAGGCTCAAGTGATCCTACTGCCTTGGCCTCCCAAAGTGCTGGGATTACAGGTGTGAGTCCCTGCACCAGGCCCTTATTACACTCTTAAAGCTTCTGGAACATTTTAGGACATCAGCTATGTACACTATTACAATTTTCACTTCATTCTAGATAGGATTTGGCTATGGATACTGTTTCAGTTGTAATCTGTCTACAACTCAGCACTGTCAGCACCATCTGACAAAGCTGTAGCTTTCATTCCCGTCCCTTTTTAATGTCTCCTTCATTAACATTCTTAACCGGTTTTCTGCTGGAAAGGAGAACTGTATTCTAAACCAGGACTTTTAAAGGTCCTGCACCTAGTTGTAATTAACTAGCATAATTAGCATTTTATGTGTAATATAGACATGTGTCGTAAACTGTTGTTTGAATCCTAAAGCCAGTTCCAAACCCATTTCTCTTTCTGTTATAGAGGTTGGAAGACAAATATGCCTTTTTCTAACTTCCCTTGCAGTTAGGGCTAGCTGTGTGATTTAGTTCGGGCTTTTGTGATATAACCAGAAATCTTCTGGAAGACCTCTATGGGGTGGGGGGGCGGAAGAGGGGGGAGGTAGCTTCTCCCATAAAAGGAATAGAAACATTTGTTTGTATGTATACTCTCTTTCTTCCATCCTTAAGTGTGGAATGTGATGTATGGAGTTGTGGCAGCCAAATTGTAATTATAAGGCAACAAGCCTCAGAATGAAAAGCTAACAAGCTAAGAAGGTAGAGCAGAAAGAAAAGACAGAATCTGAGTTCTTTTTTTTTTTTTTTTGAGACAGAGTTTCATTCTATAGCCCAGGCTAGAGTGCATTGGCACAATTTCAGCTCACTGCCACCTCCCCCTCTCAGGTTCAAGCGATTCTCATGCCTCAGCCACCTGTGTATCTGGGATTACAGGTGCAGGCAACCACGCCGGCTAATTTTGTATTTTCAGTAGAGTCGGGGTTTCACCATGTTGGCCAGGCTGGTGTTGAACTCCTAACCTCAAGAGATTCACCCTCCTTGGCCTCCCAAATTGCTGGAAATAAAGCATGAGCCACTGTGTCTGGCCAAGGGACTGAATTTTTTTTTTTTTTGAGAAAAGGTCTCACTCTGTTGCCCAGGCTGGAGTACAATGGCACGATCTCGGCTAACTGCAACCTCCGCCTCCCAGGTTCAAGTGATTCCCACACCTCAGCCACCTGAGTAGCTGGGATTACAGGCGTGTGCCACCATGCCCAGCTAATTTTCATATTATTATTATTTTTTTGAGACAGAGTCTTGCTGTGTTGCCCAGGCTAGAGTGCAGTGGCACAATCTCGGCTCACTGCAAAACCTGGCTCACCTCCCGGGTTCAAGCCATTCTCCTGCCTCAGCCTCCTGAGTAGCTAGGACTACAGATGCCTGCCACCACGCCCGGCTAATTTTTTGTATTTTTAGTAGAGATGGAGTTTCACTGCATTAGCCAGGATGGTCTCCATCTCCTGACCTCATGATCTGCCTGCCTCAGCCTCCCAAAGTGCTGGGATTACAGGCATGTACCACCGTGTCCAGCCTAATTTTCATATTTTTTAGCAGAGAGAGGGTTTTGCCATGTTGGCCAGGCTGGTCTCAAACTCCTGACCTCAAGAGATCTGCCCGCCTTGGCCTCCCAAAGTGATGGGATTACAGGTGTGAGTCACTGCACCCAGCCAAGAGTCTGAGATCTTTTTTTTTTTTTTTCAATCTTTCAAACTTTTATTTAAATGTCATGATCTAGGATGGATTTTAGATCTTGTTGAAAGCAGCCACATCCATGGACTGCACATAGTCCTCAAATGCAGTGATCTGCTCCTCCAGCATATCTGTTCCAACTTATCATCTTCAACTACACACTGTATTTGAAGTTTCTTAATTCTGTATCCCACTGGAACTAGTTTAGATGAGCCCCGGACTAAGCCGTCTGCTTGAATGCTTCTGACGCCCTCTAATTTCTCCATATCTGCCTCATCATCCCAAGGTTTCACATCTAGTAAGATGGTAGACTTGGAAACAAGTGCAGGTTTTTTTGGCTTTCTTTGTTTCATATTGTGCAAGACGTTCTTCCCTTAGCCTCTTTGCTTCTTCACTTTCCTCCTCCTCATCAGATCCAGAGAGCTCAATGTCATCATCATCTTTACTATCTGTGTAGCTCCACTTCCTGTAGTGTCTTCCACATCTGCAGGACCATACTTGCCCAAAGCTTTCTTCACTCCTGGCAGGCTGGCCTTTTCCTTTTCGTAAGACTTGATGTGATTATACCAATGTAGGGCATGACACAAGTCGGCAGGCAGTGGGCGAGGTGCTGCTTCAAATACTGCCACATCTGTTTGTGATGGCACATACCCCTTGATGTAGCTCTTGTCTTCCAGGTAATCATTGAGCACCTGGAGGCCAGTGGGGCTTTTCAGGTCTGCAAAACCCATGGCGTTGGCTGTATCTGAGAGTTTTTCATGTACAAATTGGGGGCCCTGAATTAAGTGGCCCACAGATGGTCGTTGGACCTTTCGCTGCATTTGGAAATAAATTAATAAAATAGGCCTGTCTTAAATTCATACCTCTACAGCTCCCGAAGATGACGGGAACTGCCGAGTCTGAGTTCTTAA